AATCCCAAACAAAGTCGTCGCCTCAGCGGCAGCTCATATGGTTCACTGGTAACAGAGAACTTCAACTCTGAACTCCAGCTCAGATCCTACTTTCTTTCCTACCGTACTCGAGCACAGTACGGTCTGGGCCGGAGTTCGTTGAGAGTTGTATTTCCGGTCATGGATGATTTTCAGGAATGCCGCTTTGAGTAACGGCTTAGTCAAAGCCCAAATCTGTCAAGAAGTGCAGTACCCAAACTTGTGCGGTCATCTTTAAAATTGAATGACAAGCTCACCTCAATCTCTCCGTATGTGGAACTTCCTCTTGATGGCCAGTACTGATCACATTTCACTCGAGACCGTTCTTCCAGGTTGGTTAGCATAACTATAGTTGATGATCCCTCTTCCCAAACCATTCGCCAGAAGTCACCAAATGTTTCTGGCAGTGGACCTTGCGTCGCTATATAGGCTTTAGGCTGAAATTCGTCCTATTATTTTATGGCTCGAGAAAAACAACTCTTTTACCCACTTTATCATATCCATCGATGTAGTTGGCGTTTATATAGTCAGTCCCTGGTATGCCATCTAATGAAGAGAGTACAACCCGCGAATGGTCGTACGCAACCACATTAGCGTAGCGGTTTTTATGCTTATTCATTTCAGCGCTGCTATTCTCCCATGTGAACTGTTGGCCGGTCTCGATGGATTCAAATTCCTGAAAATCAAGCTTTTGTGAAAAGTCTTCAGCTTGCAAGTGTAAAAAGTTAACCTGTTGAAATCCTGCATTGTTGTTCATGCGTAATCTTTCGATGTGCTGCGCAAGCTCAGAGATGGGTACCGCAGGGTGTGTAACGAGGTGAGTTCCTGTAAGATTAACATCAAAAGATCAAAATACTAGTAATATTAGTCTGGATTTTCAAAGTCGGTCGCTTTGGCTTTTACATATTCGTCTGACATCTCCAAAAAGCACTTGGGACTGTACTCTTCAAATAGATTTTATTTTCTTTTGGAAAAAGAGCAAGGAAGTGAGTCCAAATATTTCACTTGCCCCAAATGTGAAAAAATTTCGTTTAATCAAAAGAATTTGAAATGGCAGATCACAATTTCCTTGCAAAAACTTGATTTTAT